GACGTACAAGGTTTGATGTCGCTGTCCAGGATATGGTGGCTTACTGGACATGGAGTACTCTTTCGAACGCGCGTCATTGGGAGCAAACGGCAGATATGCAAACTCTCTGAATTCACCACAACGTCCAATGGATTGTATCACCAAATGTGGAAGGTATTGATATACAATGTGGGTGCATCAAATTGGAAAAGGATAGGGGAGAAAAGAGCATGGTGGAGGGATTCAGAGACATTACTTGCACTCGCACAACTCGATGTTTCGGGAATTGAGGAAGTTAGAGTTTGCGGAGGGTCCTGCGATGCTGAGGGATCAGGTATACATGAAAGCCTGGATCCCCTATATATGATGTTCAGGAAGATGCAACAGCTGCGCAGGGTAGACTGCACGAATTCAAACTTCCAAACAAATTCGAACTTCCAACTGGTCAGTGCTTCACAGTTTATAGCGCCGGTGGCAGAGGTAGAGGATAGGGAGGTATGGTTTCGAGGCTGGAGGATTTCACAATTTCAAAAGCCAGACCCGACATTCCACCCACTTGCCCAGATGTCTGTGAGGCCTAGGAAATTAGAATGCACAGGCATGCTATTCCAGGAATTGGAAGAGACCTTCGCCATTGATTGTGACGATACAAAGGAGGTTGTGCTCACAGTAAGGGGGCTTGCTGATCTGGAGGCAATTGAGGAGGGAATTGTCTACTTCCAGGAGCTACGGAAAATTGAAAGTAAGTTTTTTCATTGCGAAAGCAGATATATATGGCTCATGGTATTTGCAAGTTCGGATGTTGAGATTCCAGATTTATCCGATGATGGACCCGCTCCCTGAACTCAGAGAATTGACGGTCACTGTGTTTATCAAGCCGTGGGCAGAATTTACTGGCGCAGACTACTTGATTGCCCTACTTGCATACCCAACAGAATGGGAAAACCTGACAATCCTTCATTTGAAGATGACGCCAATGGAGAATGGCACCGTCACGACAGAACTTCAGAACAGCGCACAATGGGAACAACTGAGCGAGATGTTGATGGATGAGGAACGATTTCCTTCTCTGTTCACTGTGGAGATTGATGTTTTGAATATCGTTCGAGATGTGCATCCTTGGAGCGACAGGGAGAGGAAAGATGATGAGGAAGTCTTGGGATTAACAGAAGTTTTGAAAAGAGAGAGGGCAACAAGGAAAGCAATCACAGAAGGGTTGGGGGCATTGAAGATGGGGAGGGACCTGAACATTTCTGTAAGCTTTGAGCGAGAGTATGGAACGATAAATTATAACTAGTGCATTTGTCATTGAAATACAATGATGATGAACAATAAAAGGGTCGCCTAAAATAATATCTCATGAAACTACAACTTTGCTATGGCAGTGTCGTCAAGTGGTTAATTTCTGTGCAGAAAATTTACATTGCATGGAGGTAATGGATCAATTCCCATGTCGTGCACTTTTTTCTAACACAAATAGACCGTATGTTGGCCAATGAATGTTGAATCAGAAATGGTATATCCTAACTGTATCATGCTGGTCTGAGTTCCTATTTTGTAAGGATATAGTACATATCAACCGTATTGCATTGGGTGAGGGATAGTTGCTCATTACTATATTCCAACACCCTGTATATAGTACATCTCAACTGTATTATACTGATATGAGGGTAGTTGCTCACAACCATATTGAATTATCTTGTGGGAATATGGTACAATTCAACTGTATTACTTTGGGTAAGGGATAGTTACTCATTACTATATTCCAACACCCTGCATGCATATAGTACATCTCAACCATATCATACTGATATGGAGGGTAGTTGCTCACAACCATATTGAATTATCTTGGGAGGATATGGTACAATTTAACTGTATTACTTTGGGTGAGGGATAGTTGCTCATTACTATATTCCATCACCCTACATGCATATAGTACATATCAACTGTATTGTAATACTCTGCAAGCATATAGTACATTTCAGCTGTATTGTGTTGGTTCAATAGCTTAAGGGTGATTGAGAATATATGGTACATATGAACTATAATTGTATGTGTCATGAATGTTGAAAATGTGGTTCTTGAAGCCCATATGAACTTGGTCTAAGCACAGTAGTACTACATAGTAGTGCGCTCAGTGATAGAAAAATAGTTGAGGTGCACCTTACATTACAAACAGGATATGATTGAGTAAGCTATATACGGCCCGCTGTCTTGTCTATCACAGCTGGCTGTACCCTTGTATACAGCCGATGGAGCAACGCCTATCTGAATTGTGCTGAATCTACCTTAATCAAAGGAATATACCGAATCCTTAGAACGATTCAAATTGATTGATCAAAGCTTCTTACTTAGCTCTCAAAGCTTTGCGGAACCTTTGCCAATGCTACCCCTTGCTATTAAATAAATTTGATAGCAGTGAACTCGCATATTGTGTATTAGATTGGTTGGTTGGAGTGCCCATTAGATTCCTTCCTTTCTCTTTCACACAAAAACAAGGCAAGCTCGTTACCGATGCGCCGATCCATAGATATAAATACTGCCTGTACGATACTGTAGCTCCTCAGTTTAATTATCAACTTAGATTATCCTCTTAACATCCTTGACTTGAGAACTATCTCTGTACTCTTGTCACTATCTAGTCTTCAGGCTCGCCGCCTTGAAGTCTTCTCTACTCTGACCTTGGGACTTTTAAGTTCTTTGGTTCGCTCCTCGTCACTGGCGATACCGCCGCTCCGACTTGGCTGCTTCTGGCTCTCTCCTTCTCTACTCTCGATCTCCGGGGACTAGCAGCATAACAGCAGTGTTGTTAATAACTTCACTACTGTCCCATTAGACCCTCCGCCCTTAGACACCTTGTGGCCTCTGGCACGGTTACATGGTGTACATGATCTTAACATCCCACTACTTGGGACTGCATCGATACCGACCCTTGATAGGGTATGACAGATGGATTGCTCAATCTTGGAGGAACGTGTACAGGGCTGGGGACCAACCGAGCTGTCAGATCATGTCCAGAGATCCGTGATGACTGTTGTGCACTATCCATCCTTACTTCGCTAAACTGATATTGCTGCGTCGAGACTGGCATGCCCGGTTTTGTTTGCAGATTAACTTTGGGGGGAGGAGTCAGGTTATGTGCTAGGGCGTGCACAGTGGGGGAGGTCCCCGATTGTAACTGGGGGCTCCTCATGGCCATATCACCAGGGTAATTGGATCCTGGGCAATGAATGTTTGTGTGCTGTGAACCGACCATCAGAGCTTCGGAGCTGCTTTTTCTGGTCATATTGCTCTAGGGAGACCTCCCCTGCACTTTCTGGTTCACATTGAACCATATATGAGGTTTCCCAATTATCCGGAACCAGTCTACGACGGAATTCCAAAGAGTAAGGTCTGGTGTCAGGTCTCTTGAGAACACAACATCACTTCAGACTCCTCACTCCTCACCAGAAGTTGGTGCATATGCCTCATGGGCGTGTACGTGTACACTGTCTGTCCGCTACGGACCCGGACAGGACTATCCTGATTGGGCATTGATTCCACTGGGGCAAGGAGGTATGCAGTGGTGTATCTCCTTCATCTACGATTTTTTGCAGCAATTAAATTGACATCTTCATTGCTTTCTTCATTGATTTTAGCTGCCGCCGCCGCTAGATTCGCATTTCGAAGTATTTGGATGGCCTGGTAGTTTAGAATGTTAACTCTTGAAGGGGGGGGGAGGGGGTTTGAATCATACAGCTCCTGATCTGTAGTTAGATGCTCAGTACAATATACGTAGCCCAGCTTCGCCGCAGAACTCCTTCTCTCTTCTGTGGGTATGAGGAAGGAGTTTCTGAACAATCATCCATAACAAACCTCTGCTTCTATTGAGTTTCTAAACGATTGTCCATAACAAGCCTCTGCTTCTAACAATTCTAACATCTGCTCCGGGTCCAATAGAACGTTGTATAGCCAAAGGAAGTCTGACCTGCTCATTGGTGTCATCAGCTGTTGAGCCTTCTCTGGGAGGTCTATCTCCAATTGAGTTCCCACTGTTAGGAACCGTACCTGTAGGTGTGAAAATTCAATACCATCTCCCAATGTTTCGATCCCCATTGACTCCAAAACCTCCTGTAATACCATAGCTATGTCCTCCGGGATACACTCCTGGATTCTAATGAAGTCTTCCAGTCACAACGTCATCTCCAACAATGGTTGCACAGGGAAGTTGGTCCTACTATGATGTATCGTGTGAGTGCTCCCAGTTGGGCGTATTCACAGCTGGACTCTTAAGGAGGCTGGAGAGGGAACTTCCTCATCTTAGAGGAGCAGGATCAAGGGAATGTATGGGAGGTGTCAGTAACCTCCTAGATGATGCCCGAGACTGTTCAGATGCTGCGGGTGATACCCCCCTCTCCGGAAGTGCTTCCCTTTGTCATAATGTGAGAGGATCTGCATTCTCCCCTTGTATTTTCTCTATAGCGGCTACTCGACTGCTGACTCTTCCTCCCAGGTTCAAGGCCGATTCCATGTCTAGCTGCAGTACCAGTCCAGGGGGAGGTCCTCTCGTTTCCCAGGTAGGGGAATATGCAAAACCTCCCATTGGACTACTGGCAGGTTGAGCATATCCCATGGAAACATACCTCCATTGTGGTGGTCCCATAGCTGTTCCTGTGGGTCCAGGATCCACGGGTGGAGGTTCCCGCGCCGCAGGTTGACGTCCTTCAGGAGTCCTTATGTTGTCAGAGGGTTTGTCCCCAAACGACTGTTGTGGAATGGACATCAGGCATTGACCAGCTACCACCGTGATGGCAGTGACACCGACAGCCTGGCTCAACTTCTGAGCTTGTGTTGTGTTTCCATGAGATAGGGTGCTCTTTTATTTTCTTGATTCAAGTTTGGAACTAGAAGGTCGTTCTGTTCACATCGCAGACATTTTGTCGCAACGAATCCATTCAGTGATGGGAGAGCTTGGTATAATGTAAGACCTGAGTCAGAATGGGTCTTAGGATAGGTTTTGGTATAAGGGATTTATGTTGTAGAGTGCTAAGAGCAAGCTGGAGCTCGAAGGGAGCTATGGCCGCGACCGAGGACAGGAATGACCTAAGAATAGTTTGGATTGAAAGGGTTGACCTTTGGAGAGGTTCCTAGGAGGTCCTGGGAGGTCCCTAGGACATTAGCGAGGGGCTAAAGGTTACTAGGAGCTAGGGAGCATTGGACTGTTATGTAGTACGGGTTGTAGTAGATAGGATCGACAACACAGGATTGTTATAGATTGTAGCTGAAGTGAGTTCCAAACATGAGAGCTCCCGATGGAATGTAAGCCTGGGAGGGAGGTCCTGGGAAGTGGAGGTAACAGCGGACATCCTCAAGCAATGGGGGAAGTAGTGGAGAAGCGGTACATAGTTTGACGTTACTGAGATCAAAGTCCCTGAGCTTGTGGAGCACTTGGGGAGGTTGGCTCACCAAAACGATAGACATTGGGGAGCTTTAGTATTGGTCAAGGGAGGTTGAAGACTCACTCAGGTTGCTTAGACGTGAGGTAAAAGCGTGTATTGGATCGTTTAGATGATCATAGAGATGAAGATAGAAGTAGGGAAACAGAGATAGTGAAACAGGGAGTAAGAGAAATCCGTATAGTTAGCAGGTACAAAGGGACAGGGACTGGACCTATGCAAAAGGGCGTGTGTTCAAAATATACCAAGCTGGGCTTCTAGACGCTACGGTAAAGAAAGATTATTCGGTCCAAGCGAGGACCTACGGAGAATTCCAGTCGGGTCTTGTATCGGTTTGAGGGAGAATGGTTCTCGGGACTATTAGAATCCCTGAAATGGTCTAGGAGAAGAATAGTTAGTTACAATGGAAATAAACACTTAGCTTAACGAATCGTCCACGTAGACGATCCTCGGTGCACAATCACGCACTGAGAGATATCAAGAAAAAGAAGATAAATTCCTCTCTGCAAGTACAACTGATATTTGACTCAGGCGTCCACGCGTTCTCTTGCGTCGCCCGACGTTGCATATGCCAATCGGAAATATGAGTATTTGATATATAAGATAAGAGTCCATTGAAGGTAAAGCACCACTAGCTGTTAAGATCATGTACACCGTGTAACCGTGCCAGGGCCACAAGGTGTCTAAGGGCAGAAGGTCAAGTGGGACAGTAGTGAAGTTATTAACAACACCGCCGTTACGCCATTAGTCCCCGGAGATCGAGAGTATAGAATGGAGGAGCCAGTGGCAGCCAAGTCGGAGCGGCGATGAGGAGCGAACCAAAGAATGTCTAAGTTCTAAGGTAGAGTAGAACATACTTCAA